ATAACACATCTACTAGAAAAAGAAATGGATTTTGGTGACCAGTCAACGAATATTTATATCGTTTTCAGGGGCGGATCCAGGATGAGCGAAGGCGCGATTTCTATAGGGGGGTCCGGAGGCATGCGAAGTTGACTCTTTAACGTTTAGAACTTGATATCGTCACAGTATAGTCGAGCTCTGTATTTTTTGTATTTTAATCTTATCCATTTCATTTACTATTAATTTTCCTAACCCTGAGTTTTTTTTATGGGGTGAATTTTTTTTTAGAGAGAGAGCTAACATTTAGAAGTAGGTATTATAATAACCTAAACGTTATTCACATAATTAAGAGATACATTACCAAGACTAATTACGTGTATCCTTTTTTTACCCAATAATTTACTATTTCCTAAGTTTGCATTATCATTTCATTTGAGTAAAGGGGGGTGACTAGTCACCCCTATCCACCCCTGGTTTTATCGATTCAAGAAAAAACTAGAAAATCCCGGGGAGAACTCCGGAGTAAAAGTACCGTGGGTGTTCGTCGGATCTTTTAGGGGTAAAAKATCGTGAATGTAAATCTTTTAGGGTGCCAATTTGGAGTTCTTTAAATTTGTATTTTCTGCAATCTCTTATAGGGTGTCGGAAAAGAAGACAAAGAGCGCATCGATATTGATTTTCCTCGCGTTTTGTTTTGACATTAAATATTTTATACATTTTATGAATAGTTTATACATTTTATCATTAGAACTGATGTAACAATATTTGTTGTGCAATCTCTAAGGGGTTAAAAACCAGTCATCCAAGCCCTTTTTTTCAAGACTTTCAGATCTTTTAGGGGTATTCCATCATATACTCCATCCAAATGGCCAGACATTACGTCCCTACTGTGCTCTATTTTCAACCGTTTCAATGAAATRATGCACTGTGGAAGATCCTGCTTCCCATTACAATTTTCTCGGCAACTTGCAATATGTTTTGGCTAACTGAAAGTTAGGTGATACGCTGTGCAGTGGCATTGCTAGTTGCTGGAATGTACTGCAAAAAGAAAACCTGATTTCTACTCCGTGCAATGCTACTTGCATCGAAAAAAGATGGGGGCGACTGCTATTACACTATGCAATTCGTTTCCAGCAACTCCTTCTGTCGAAACGGTGATACAATAAAATTGAACAATGTAGCAGGATCTTAAATTTAGAGGGATAAGCATTCCACATTTCATTTTTTCCTTGAGTCTGTTCTAGTAGATAAACCATGCAAACTCATGAAGCGAGAAAAAAGGTACCCTAAGATTTTG